GCAAAAGATTTTTAATTATATATTTAAACACATCATTCTGGTTCTTCTCTTTTTTTTTTTTTTTTTTTTTTTTTCATCTTAAACAACAGAAATTTGTAGTTTTACAGTTCTGGAGACCGGGAAGTCCAAGATCAAGGTGCTAGCCTATTTATCCCGGTTCTGAACCCATTATTCTGGCTTTAATGAGACCTCATTTTTTTTCCAACGGCCACAATAGGAGATAAAAAATGTTGTTCTAAGGATTTAGGGTTTTTTTTTTTTTCTAGTTCGATAGCTTAGATTTTTATGGTAAACTCTTTGATCCATCTGAAATTTATTAAAGCATATGATGTGAGTTACATATTCAAATTCACTTTTCTTCTTACTAATACAGTTTTCCCAACAATATTTATTTGTTAGTGTTCTCTTTGTGTGTGTGTGTGTGTGTGTGTGTGTGTGTGTGTGTGTGTGTGTGTGTGTTCTAGCCTACCAGAGAAGGTTTTATAAGAGTTTGGCTCTCATTTTCTAAAATATGCTATTTCCTTGATCAATTTTTGTTCTTAACCCAATGCCAAACAGTCTTTTTATATGTGTGGCTTTGTAATAAAGTTTAAAATCTGACCACCTATCATTCCTTAAAATAATATCTTTTGGCATTTTTGTCTTCTTATTCTTCTAGGTAAATATCACTATAAATTTGTCATGGTAGGTAAAATATCCTGTGGAATTTTTAATTGATATTGCATTAAAGGGTGCCATCTTTATATTTTAGCTTTTCTAGCCAGAAATAAGGTGTTTCTTTCCATTTATTCATGTCTGTCTTTATTTCTCCAATTATGATTTTATCATTTTCTTTATTTCTTTTGTTATCGTTAACTTTTTCAAAGTACTTTTAAACTGATGATCTCATCTGATGCTTACCAGGACTCACTGCTGTAGGTCAGTAGAAGGATTTAGATGCAGCCAAGGATGACTGACCTATAATGGACTTTTTTTTTCTCTGTATTCATCATATTTTTTTTTTTTGGTAACAGCTTTATTGAGATATAATTTACATACAATACAAGTCACACATCTAAAGTGTACCATTCAATAGTTTTTAGTATATTCAGGGCTGTGCAATCATGACCACAATCAATTTCAGAACATTTTCATCACCGAAAAAGAAATCCAATACCTCCTATTTCTGAACCACTCTTCAAGACCCTGGAGACCACTAATCTTCATTACGTCTCTATAGATTTGCCTATTTCTGGACATTTCATATAAATTGATTCATACAATACAAATAGACTTTAAAGGGGAAGCAAAGGTAACATTTATTAAGCACCTAAATATCTATTACGCACTTTATATTTTTTCTTATTTAATCTTCAAAATAGTCTTTTAAGTTAGGTAATATTATTTCCATTTTAGATGAGGAAATTGATGTCAAAGAGATTGAGTAACTTGCCTAATCATACTGTTAGGATGCGCCTGGATGCTTTGACCAGATCTTTGAGCACTTTCTTTCTCCCTTAAGGTAGTTAGGAAATTTGGGAATCTTCCCTCCCATGCTCTTGCATCAGTAGTCTTCAGCACCTTGCACAGAGACCAAACACCAATATAACACTTCTGACACTGTGAGGGATAAAAGAGCAGAGAAGTGGAGTGATTTGTATAACATGGACTCATGGAACCACAGAAATTTGCTCTCCCATCTTCTGTCCTTCAGATATTGAGAATAACCAGAGATCTGTATAAAGTTTGACCCAGAGCCATGGGAAATTAGAGCTCAAAGCTGGAAAGAGCCTCAGAGACCACCTAGTCTAGTTGCTCCATTTTATTAATGAAGAAACTGGGACCCAGAAAGAGCAAGCAATTTGCTCAAGATTGTATAGCTCAAATATAGTGACAGAGAATGACCTTTTATCTGTTATTGGAAGAATGAACGTACTAAAGGTGAAAGTCCCCTCCAGAATAACTTCAGAAAACGAATTAAGAAAGCAAATAGTGTTATGAAAAGGTCACCGAATTAGGTCAGGAGATCTGGGTTCTACAACCAGCTTTGCCACTAATTCACTGTGAGACCTTAGACAAGTCACTTGATCTCTCTAGACTTCTGTTTATGGGTGGGTTGTAATAGACGATCTTTTGGAAGCCTGGCACTTATTAAACTCTTTGGAAATTTTATTGAAAAGGTAAATAAGTGAACCTTTACTTAAATTCTAAATGTTAGGCTATTTTTGGAAGATTCACAGTGAACTACATAACTGAAGAACTCAAAGAAGGGGTAACTATTTTTTTTTAAAGAAACTAGTACTGTAAATTTAAATGCCTGTAGGGACAAATACATAAGTACGTTTTTAAAAAATATAAAACGTCATTTCTTCAACAAATACGAGTGCCTGATTATTTCCAACAAGTAAATATCCAGGACACATTTGCCAAGATGATAATAAACCTGCTCTGGCTGCTGTCACGACAGTAGTTAATGCAGCTGCATGTATGGATAGAAGTATAAACTCATTCCCTTCATAAAGTCTTAATTTTGTATGTTTATTTCCTTTGGGAAGAAAAAGCAATTCAATCTTGTTTTAAATAAAAAGAGATTTCACCATGGTTTAAGGACCAATAGTCACTTATTTATTCTAGTAATATTTATTGAATACCTAAAAGGCACACAGACATGAAACAGGAGAGTTACCCTAAAATGGGAGATTTTAAAAATTATACAAAAACGTGAAACTGACATTAAAAACCTGTCTTTCTTATGATACAAGATATGTGAACAACCTGGAGCTGTTTGTTTAAAGCTTCGCAGGTTGAAACTTTCACAGAGAAGCAGCAGAGCAGATGATGTGTGTGTAGGGGGTGAGTGGGAGGGCAAAGAGTGCAGCTGGAGCTGGAGCAGGTGGCAGCAAATGATCATATTGACACATTCCTCCTCCCTCTCCCACCTTCCATGATGGAATAATAACAGGGATCCGTTCCATGTGTATTATATCACCCTTCAGAGTTTACGGAGCGCTTTCACATTCATTATCTTATTTGATCCTCATGCCAACCCTAAAAGAGAGGCAAAAAGTGTATTGGTTTTTTCCATTTTGAGATGAGAAATATGGGGCTCAAAGAGGTGAAGTGGTTTTCCTATAGGTGAATGACAATATAAATTAGTGTCAGGACTAGAACTCACATCTTTGTCTCTGAAAGCAATTCTCTTTCCATTACCTCCATTCAGCCCAGTAATTTTTTCTTCATTCTCTCCATTTGGAGGTGTAAGTTGCTGAATGTTCACCTCAGCAGGTTGCTATGTCAAGCGGGAGGAGTGGCAGCAGCAGGAATTGACTCCAAGAGTTTGGATAGAGCAAAAAGGAGTGAATTACTACCACAAGTGGAAGACCCTTATTTCATCTGCTCTGGCCAGACTGTGTGTGTGTGTGTGTGTGTGTGTGTGTCTATTAGGAAACGGAGCATGGAGATTATACTTTATCTAGTCTCTCTAAGGTTCACTTCTGCTCATCTAAAATGATAATAATGTAGACACACAACACCTCTGCCTCCATATGGTAAAATAGAGAGGGAGAAAAAAAGGTAGTAAATATATAAATGTGAGTGGTCATGAAGGAATGGAAAAAGTAGAGTTCATGGGGCACCTGATAGGTACCAAGTGCTTTACTTACAATATTTTATTTAGTCTTCACAATTACCCCATGACATAGGTCCTACAGGTGCCCCTCTTTTACAGATTATTAAACTAATGCTTAGAAGGATTAAGTCCTAGGTCACAAAGCCAGCGATCGCCTGAGCCAGGATCCAAGTAGGTCCATATGGCTCCAGAACTGGAGATCTTAACCACTACACCAAGTAAAGAACCTGTGTTTTCTGGTAAATTGAAACAGACATGACATTTCTTTTAATCAAGGTTGGGAGAGCCCACAGAGGTCCCCTTATTCAGCCTCTAGCCAAATACATGAATCCCTTCCAGATACAACTTACTGATGACTGTCCAGTGAGCCATAGGGGCTCTAAATTAGTTTAGATTCTGTAAATGGAGATGGGTCTGCAAGGACTCGTCCCTTCTCTTGTCTGGTGCTTCACCCAGGGCAAGGCCCCAGGACTTCTGTGAGGCAGCAAACCAGCATCAGAGATAGCCTGTGACCATAAGAGAGAGGGACAGAGCCCTTGCAGTCAGTTTCACCTAACTTCAACTGTTGTGTGACCTGGTCCTTTGCTTAGATATATCTGCTCCATAAATCCTTGTGGAGGTTGCAGTTAGTTTTGCAGCTGCATTACCTTAGCCTCAAGCATGGTTAAAGGAATCATTCAGTTGATGATCTTTGTGATTCCTGATGGTTTTGTCCTTCTTTGGTTGCTCTTTCATAGGATACATGTGATAACTTTAAAATTGAGCTCAGTTTCTTATAGTCATTTTGGGCATTCTTATTTCTGCAAAAATCTACCAGTGAAGAGATCATCATGGTCCTGGAAAACCCTCTACTGACCAAGCAGAATAGTGAGTATTGGTGATTTCTACTGTTTCAGAAAAAATGTCACAAATACTAAAGGTGGTGGAAGGGAGGGGCTGTTTGTGAAGATGAAATCAGTTGACACATTTACCCTATTGTTACCTCATTCCAAATAATTCCTTGGATATGATTTGGAAAAAGGAGGGAGAGTGAGATGGAATTCCATAGCACCAATTTTTTTCTAAGCGTTCATAGCCCTGTATAAGTAAAGAGCATCTCTTAATGACCTCGTTTTCTTTCTCCCACACTAATTCATGACTTCAACAAATACCGTCAAGTGCCTTTTGCATCCTAGGCCTTTAGTTTTTCTCCATTTGTGTTCTTTTTACTTTCTGAATTTTCCTTACTTCCTTTTGTTCCTTCCCCCTTTTTTTCAGCCTTTACATCTTTAATGTTATGCCTGAGAAATGATAGTACTATTTGGGAAGGCGTTTAAAGTGAGAATATCTCTTCACTTAAAGCATGTCTAAAGAGTTTTTAACTGTAGTCAAGAATAACTCTCCGCTTGTGTCAATGGAGAATTCATCTGTAGTGACTGACTTCATCCTTCTTGGCATGACAGATAACCCTCAGCTTGAGATTCTGCTATTCGGGGTCTTCCTTATTGTTTATATTGTCACCCTATTGGGGAACCTAGGCTTGGTGGTCCTGATCAGACTCAGCTCCCGCCTCCACACCCCCATGTACTTTTTCCTCTCTAATCTGTCCTTCCTTGATGTCTGTTTCTCTTCCATCACAATCCCAAAGACTTTAGCAAATTTGTTATCTAAGCTGAAGGATGTTTCCTTCCTTGGATGTGTGACTCAAATGGGCTTGTTCATAGTCTTTGCCTCTGCTGAATGCAATTTTTTGGCTTCTATGGCCTATGACCGCTATACTGCCATCTGTCACCCACTTCTCTACCATATTACCATGACAAGAGTCCGTTGTCTCCTCTTGGTAGCAGGATGCTACCTTGGTGGGTTAGTTAACATGGTTGCTGTGATGACTTCCATCACACAACTATCATTCTGTCAACCGCGTATCCTCCCCCACTTCTTTTGTGACATTCCCCCACTGTTGGCACTGGCTTGCTCAGATCCCTGGGACACCCAGATCTTGGTTGCTGGCTGCGGGGGATTCACCTTGGTCACCTCCATTGTGGTGATCCTTGCCTCCTACATGTTTATCCTCCTGACTATTCTGGGAATTCCCTCAGCTTCTGGAAAACAGAAAGCCTTCTCCACCTGTGCTTCCCACTTGACTGCTGTCGGCCTGTACTATGGAACAACTATGTACACTTACTTGCTGCCCTCTCGACGTGGATCCCAGACAGGAAATCAGATGGTCTCAGTGTTTTATACAATGGTGATTCCCATGTTAAATCCTCTCATCTACAGTTTGAGAAACCAGGAAGTGAAAGTTGCCCTACAGAAAATATTGAGGCACAGTTCCTAATCTTCCATTGTGTTCCTCAAGAATGTAATATGTTCTATGAAGATCTGCTCACAGTTTTATTCATAGTGTTTTTCCTTGCCTGCAAATGAAGTCTTGTTAAGAACAATTGAATTACTTTGGCTAAGTGTTTAGAAGTAGTTGCTCAGATTAACAGCAACATAGTAAGTGGAAATTATATGGACAAAATAATGTAAAATTTATGAAACAAATGTCTGATAAGAAATATTTAAGAAGGAAATATGTAAGTATGTGGGTATAAATATGTCAATCTGAATGATGAACGTGTATGATAACATTAGCCATGAGTTAAAATAATTCCAAGATAACAGATCAAAATAAAACGGTGAACTATAAGAAGGAGAGAATAGCCCTATAGTTACTAGAGGTGGGAAAAGGGGAGAGAGTTACAGAGTAATTGGGTAAAAGACACAAATCATTACAAAGAACAATTTGTAATGATGAACATGCTAATAATATTGATTTGATCATCACATACTGTACACAAATACTGATAGTCAACTCTACCCCATAAATATGTATAATCAAAAATGAATAAATAAAGCCAAAAAAAGTTTTTAAAAAAGCAATACAATGTGACTATACGTTATAGAAGAGAACATGGATGGCAACTGGATGTAAATAATTTTACTATACCACATATGTGCTTATATTGACGATTTACCTGGTGCCTCACAGGCAGAATTAAGTTCAGTCCGTTCCTCTCACAAGGATTCAAGAGAGTCATAGATTTGTGTCTTCCAAATGCTGTGCCACCACTGCAACTGTGAGGCTATAAAATTTGAGAATTTTATATACATGAAGAATTCATATACGTGAATTCTCATGTGCGATTTTGGATATTTATAGGGGTAAATCTTAAGCAGGGTGATACTCAACTAAACAATATACTGGGTTCACTAATTAAAATTTGAAGATCCTTTGTAAAGGGCAGTGGATCATTGGTTAGCAGGAACTCCAGGCCTGAATTGCAGTTATGATTTTTTTGTACGCAAATTCTGAGTGGACCTGTATCAGGTCCATTGCTATTCTCGAATATACTTCCAACAAGCAATGCAAATTGTTTTGTATAACTCCAATTAATTTATTAGTCCATGGCTAGTCCTCAGAATTTGTAAAAATGCATGAAATTTATGGATATTGCTATTTTGTCTAAATATATTGAACAACAAGCTATGCATAAAACCATACAATCATATATCTGAAGAATATAAAACCTTAATGTCTTACTTTTACAGATGAAAAAACTAAGGCCTAGAGAAAAGTCACCAAAATCAAACAAGTAGTTGGGAAGAAATAATCAAATTGGCTCAAGCTGCAAGGAAAAACAGAAAGTAGTATGTATCTACATCTAGGTCAGGCACAATCTTTGGGCCTCAAGAATACATATTCTTAGTAGCCTTCTCCCAAGAACTCCTAACCCCTAGCTATAAGGGAGAAGGTGGTTTTTTTGTTTTGTTTTGTTTTGTTTTTTGCATAGTACATTTTAAATATTGGTTATGAATATTCATGAGATACAAAGTTGATTGTCACCACTTGTGCCCAAGATGTGATGGCCAGATCCATACTGGCAGCATGCCCATTACCACAAATTGTGATTATACCCCATGTCCCCCACCCAATTATCCCCGACCTCCCTCCCCATACCCTTTTCCCACACTCCACTTTGTATTCCTAGGTGAGCTCTCTCCCCCGGCAAGTCCAATGCAGCACTGTGGTCTTTCTTTCCTTCAGAAGGTGTGTCTTACTTGGTAGCTATATGAAAGCCAGTTTCTTTAGAGCTCTAGATACTTATATCCAGCTACCAGCTGGGAACTCCACTTGGTAGTCCCTCAGGCACTCAAACTTAATGTTTCAAAAACCCAACCCTTCTAAATCTGTTGCTCCTCTTACCCTGCTCCCTACCTAAGTGAATGGCACTACCCAGTTTTTTAAGCCCCAAAGTGTCAATTCCTGACATTTCCCTCTCCCTCAACTCCCTACATTCAACCAATTACAAATCCTGTCAATTCTCCCTCTCAAATGACTCTTGAATTAGTATCTTCTCCACTGCACTAGTACTGCATTAGATCAAGGCACACTCCTTTCTTGCCAGAACTAGCTAAATAGTCTTTTATCCTTTCTCCCTGAATCCACCCTGGACCTAGCAAATCTATTGTTTGCGCAATCACCACAGTCGTTTAAATGTAAATTGGACTACATCAGCCCTCTTCTACTCTCCACAGTGCTTAAAATTTTTCATGTCTTTCTTTGCCTATAAGATCAATTTCAGACTCCTAAATATGGCATGTAATTTTCTCCAAGCCCTGACTGTTTATGTTCTATTCATTTTTAAAGTCCAAACTTAAATCCAATCTTCTTTTCTAGGTAGCTTTTCCTGATGTTTCAGAAGGAAGTGAGTACTCATACCCTGTTTTCCCATTGCACTTTGCACATCTGTTGTAGTGTTATGACACTTGGCCTTCTAATGAAATATGAGTACTCTGCATTTTTCTGAATTTCTCTTTTGCCCTCCTTGACTGAAACCCTTCGGAGGGATGGAGCCATACTTGGTTCATTTCTTCATCTCCCACCCTAGGCCTAGCAAAGGGCTTGGTTACCTAATAAAAGCTCAAAAAACTTTAGCAGAGTTGAAATTCACTCACAACTAACCTTCTTCCTTATTCAGTCCATTTTCTCCACCAGGCATTGTTATATCCTGTTGCGCAATGGAGGAAAGGTAGAAAATTTTACCTCTTGGGGCACCATCTTTCAGCTGAATTTCCTGGTTTTGTGGCTGTATCCTGAATGTCTTTTCCTTCATCATCCTTACCTTTCAGCGCTATGCCATTCAGGTCAATTTCTTGTTCTCCCTGGAGATCTGCTTTTCTCTGGTCACTAGCCCAAGGACATGGAAGATTTTTTTCTAGAATACAAGACCATCTTCTTTGTGGGATTCAAGGTTAGAGACTCTCAGAATCAGAAATCAGAATGGCCCATAAAGAAAATCGAGAATTATAGATTTTAATTTTTTAAATACTCGAATGATTTCTTTAAGTGATTTTCAATGCAGAACAAAAATATAGAAAACATAAAAGTGGAAGAGGTTTGGCAAGTATGAGGTACCCATAGCCTAGCACTCACTTCTCTCTTACTGAGGCACTTCTCCGGAAACTCATTGACAGTCCGAAAACTTTAATTAATCTAACCTGCTGATGCAGAAACAGCATTCCCAAGGGAAAGCAGCATTCTGGAGAAAACTCAGCTAGTCAGTGGCAGAGGTAGAATTAGAAGTCAGGTTTCTTGATTTGCAACCCCAGAATACTAATACCACCCTTTCATGTTGTGTGATGCTTAACACAGCTGGGAGGGTGGCACAAAACAGACTTTGTCAGACTGAAATGCAAACAATGACTTAGCCTCTAGCTCTTTGGCCAGTAAAATGTGTCCCCCAATTGCCAAATAGCCCCAGAAAAACCAGAGACAGCTACAACCTCATCATCCTTCATCATTTCTCTATTGGAAGTGGTAGAAGCAGGGAATATCAAAATGCTTTAGTAAATGAATGGTGCTTACAGTCAGGACTGGCTCCATAATTTGTAGGCCCAGCGCAAAATGTAAATCTGAAGCCCCTTCTTCAAAAGACAGGAAAATTGCCTCTAAAGGTACTCAAAAAATGTTTACATTGGGTAATGACAAAATAAAATAAAGTAAAATAAAATGTAAAGAGAGAGGAACTTATTTCAAAAATAATTGAAAAATAAATAAAAGATGCAGTCCCCCTTTTAAAAAAACGTACTTAAATATAAAGCTTTTTTCTTTCTTCTGGAGTCTCTCTCTCAATCTGTCATGGTGTATTTAGTTTGCTATTTAATGCCACACCCTCTCAGGCACAGGGATACTACTTGTGGGGTAAGAGCAGATCCTCATAGATGCCCAGGGACCCTGCCCTGTGACTCAGTGCACAGGTGTGTTTCATTGGCTACTCAGTTCCTCCTCCCACCAGCTGCTGGACAGATGCATTATACCCTGGTCATGGGAGAGAAGGTGGAACCAGTCATATCCCCTTCTCATGGGCAGGCTGCCCCAATCCATTGTGGATAGGTGACCACCAAGGGTATTACAACTTTTACAAAGGATAAACTAGGTACATGGATCAGGGTGGGCAATAGACCCCATTGAGTCTCCTGCCAAATGCACCCTGGCACTGCTAGCCTGAGGCCAGGATGGCTGTCACCATGTCCAACCCTGGGATCTTGCAGATTACATGTGCCTGACCTCAATCCTCCCTTTGTCCATGCCTAGGCCCCTGAGGGTGGAGGGTTGCAGCTGTTACTGTGTGGGACAGAGAGGGAGAGACTGGATGGAGTCCTGGGTACTAAGGGATAGGGGAGTGGGCAGCTAAGAACCTGTCTCAGGGAGGTGGGAATGTGGTGGAGAGTGGGACTGTATGCTAGCACGGACTCCAGGCTCCCAGTACATACTGAATTGTACCATTGGATTTCAGATTTCCCTTACAAAAAAATTTCAAATTATTAAAAATGTCAAGACAGTGACATTAAACCCCAAGTGTGGGGCTCTTCTGAGCTCAAGACCCTATTCAGCTGCTCTGATCACATGCCAACAAAGCCAGCCCTGCTTGCAGAGAGGTTTTTTTTTTTTTTTAATCTTTATCATCAGTATAGGTGGTGTTTAAGAGTACAAGTTCTGGAATCAGATGGCCAGGCTTGGAGACCCACCTCCCTCACTTTCTAATTCTGTGACCTTAGACAAGTTACTTAACCTTTCTATTCCTCAGTTTCCTTATCTGTAAAACAGGGATGATAAGATTACCTACCTCCTGATGTTGCTGTGAGGTTTAAGTGAGTTGATACATTCACATTGGCTAGAATAGTGTCCAGACATGATGCATACTCAATAACTGTTATTTATAACTTCTAGGACTCTACATTTTCAGATCTCCAATACAGGAATCAGGGATTTTTTTTTCCACTCTGGATCTG